ATGTGTCCGGTGGCTTGTCTCTGATTCACAGACTTCCTTATCTTACTTAAAGCATTCCAAGCCTGTGGACAAAGCTCCATTTCTTTAACCAATCACAAATGAAAGAATCTTCAAACCCACCTATAACCTGTAATGCCCCACTTAGAGACCCCTGCCTTTTCTGGCCAAACCCATGTACGCCTTCCATGGATTGACCAATGACTTTTCGTGTAATTCCTGCCTCCCTGAAGTGTATAAAGCGGGACTGTGACCCAGCCACGGGGGACCGCCTGCTCCAGGCTCCTGGGGCGCGGCTCCGGGCCGTGGTTGCACACACTCGGCTCGGAGTAAACCTCTTTAAATTATTTTGCAGAGTTTGGGTTATTTTCCGTTAACAAAACTATTGGATCCCACTAGCAGCAGAAGCCAGCACACGCCCAGTCTTCCCTCTGCGTTAGGCACTGGGCACAGGTGCCACGCCCGAGATCACAAACTGCCCGAGTAACCTCCACTGGGAAACTGAGGCTTCGAGAGAGAGTCGGCAGAGCAGGTGCCCGGGCCGTGCGGCAGCAGAGCCCGGCGCCCACCGCCCCGGGGTTCTGATTTCTGCCAACTCAGGATCCTCCACCCCCCGGTGGCCCAAGGAAGCAGGCAGCTCCTTGGGAGCCCCTCACTCCCTGCCATGCGAGACCCCCGCCTAGGAGGGAGGGGACAGGGAGGCAGGAAGAGGGTGGCCTGGGGTCGGGCTGCACGGCCCTGTGCCGGCTCTCTCCTGTGTCCGTTCTCTCCCCTCCCCCGCCACGCCGACACCTGTCGTCGTTTAGTCCACCCGCATAGTCCAGGGTGACCCATCTCAAAATCCATACTTACACTGCAAAGACCCTCTTCCCCGATAAGTTCAGGTTCACAGAGATCAGGACGGGGACAGGTCTGGGGCCACGATGCGGCTCGGGACGCGCACCCCGCAGGCCTTGGTGGCTGCGCCTGGAGGAGTCGGTCCTCCTGGGAGAGGCAGACCGGACCCCTCACGGCAGGAACAGAAGAGACAGACAGAGCCCCTCCCGGGGGGCAGATGCGCTGCCGAGTGAGAAAGTGGAGAAAGGTCTAGAAGATGGTGCGTGCAGGGGAGGCTGAGGAGTGACGGAGAAATCACAGTGGCCGCCTGCCTGGGCCTGGCCGAGGCCGACCGAGGTGAGAAAGGTCCCTTCGTGAGCCTCTCGCCAACCTGCGTCAAACCGCCGTGCACCAAAGCGCTCAACTGCCCTCGACGCCGGAGTTGTTTAAAGGGCCCGGAAGGCAGTAACCCTGACAACTGGGCCCCTCACCCCCGGTGGTCCCTAAACAGGGGGCGCCCTCCACGTGTGCGGCTGCTGTCTCGACCGGACCCGGGATGGAGGGCTGCTGGCCGCCCCTCTCGGTGGCCCTGCCCAGCTCGAGGGTGTGTACGGAGTAAAAGCTCAGACTTCATGGTGTGCTTGTGTCGTTGAAGCCACACCTGTCCTCTGACCCCTGCTGGCGGCCGCCCACCAGAGGGACTCGAACAAGTTATCCCTGTGGATGCCCTCAGCCGGGGCCTCTGGTGGCTGCTGGGGGCAGGGGACGCCGGCTGAGTTCACGGAGAAAGCGGAGGAGAGGTCTGGAGGGGAAGGCGGTGGGCGAAGGTCAGCGAAGGTCCCCGCACCAGCGTCTGGGGCGGCGCAGGGAGGGGACCAGGACATGCAGGGTGCCGGCTCCGAACTGCATCTTAAAGCGAAGTGCAGCAATGCCGGGGCAGGGAACGGCAGGCCCTGGCCTGGGCCCCCACAGCAGGACTGAAGAAACACTCGCTCGGGGGCCACGGTGTGTGTCGCGGAAGCCACATCTGAAGCCTAATTCATTTCTGAAATACGAGGCCACACGGCGTCTTTACGACATGATTTCTGGTGTGTTGAGCTGACATGCTCTGTTCACCCAGGAACTGGAGAAAACGGCCCGAGAAAAAGAAGATTTCTTATCAGAAGCGTCTCAGGATACAAAATTTGGAAAAGTATCTTAACCCCAAAGACTCCACTGAGGGCTCAGAGCCCAGGGTCAGAGGCAGCAGAGGGACGGTGAGGGGCTCCTTAGGCAGGGGAGGGCAGCCGTGCAGATCACCCCCAGGAGCGCGGCCAGCCCACCCACCGTGGGAGCCAGGCCCAAGCCTGGGCCCCTGCCACACCAGGCACTGAACTGCCCATAAATGGTCGGTGCAGTGAGGGGAAACTGAGGCACAGAGCGGCTAGGCCATTCTCTCAAGACCACACAGTCAGAAGGGGTTAGGCCAGGAGCTACAGCCAGGCCTGAGCCATAGCTCCTGGGCCCCCGGTGCCTGCAGCAAGCCAAAGGACACCAGGAGCAGCCCACCAAAGGACACCAGGAGCAGCCCACCATCGGGGGCGGCTGGAAGGGGTGGCCCAGCCCCGCCCAACACGGAGAGTCCCAGCCTTCCCCGCACCAGATACGATATGAGGTGGGGGGCGGGGAGGTATGTTCGTGTCTTCAGTTTCCCTGCCAGGAGGAAGGGGAGGGCTGGCCCACACTGCCAACACCCCTGTTTTGGCTCATTTCTGTGAATGGGGACCACACCCTCCCACTTCTAGGGAACTGGCCCAGGATGCCCTGGTCCAGCCAGCTGTGCCCCAGAGGACTCGAGAGGATTTAGGGCCAGGGAGAAGCCCCGCGGCAGTGAGCGCTGCTCTGAGCAGAGAAGGCCTGGGGACAGCAGGGCAGCCCCGTCAGCAGGTGAGAAGGCTCTGCCGCCACCCCCAAGTGGGAGCCGCGCCCTCCCCTTCCCTCTGCAGGGCCCCTGCTCCCAGTGTGGATCCCAGAGGGACGCCACAGAGGCCAGGATTTCCTTTGGGAGGGACGTGGTGGGGAAAAGAAGGTGGGAGGGACGGACTGGGAAGCGGAGGCTGAGGTCACTGGAGCGCCCCTGGCAGGTGTCCACTCTGACCACAGGCAGGACCTCACCCCCGCGTGCGCACCCTCCCTGCCGCTTCCTCCAGGGGTGCAGCCCCCGCCACGGGGCCAGAGTGCAGCTGGGACAGCCTGGTTAGCTCCCCACGTGGGCCTCGGGACACTGGGCCGGGAGCAGAAGGGTCTTGCCCCAGGCCGCCGCCACACTGGAGCCTGGCCGAGGTCTCGGCTCCCATGTTGTGAGGCCCCACGCACTGAGCCTGCTGGCCGGGCTCGGAGGACCAGCCACCGTCACTGTGCACCCGGCGGGGGCGGGCACGGCCCCCACCCTACAACTGGGACAAGGACGACACAAAGGGTGCCAGGCGAGCACGCTCAGGCGTGGGGCAGGGGGGCTCAGAGTGGGCCGCAGAAGCTGCAGAAGGTTCTGGGCCTGAGAGAAGGAGCAAAGCCTCAAAGTAGGGTGAGACCAGGGTCAGCGAAGAGGGTCGTGTGGGCGGGGGCAGGGCAAGGAGACGGCAGGGTGTGTGCTGGGGCCGGGGGCCTCTCCCCACCCTCCCCGTCTGTCTCTGTCTGTCTCTTTCTCTCTCCCTGTCTCTGTCTGTGTCTCTCTGGTCTCTGTATTTCTGTGTGTCTCTGTCTCTCTCCATCTCCCCCCTCCCTGCCTCTGTCTCCCCCTCTCTCTCCCCTTATCTCCCGCCTGGCACCCCGGCACTGCCCGGGCCCCGACGGCCCCTCAGCTGCAGGTCCTGGGCTGAGAAGAGGGTGGCCGGGGTGGGGGCGCTGCTCTGAGACCCTGCGCTGCTTCAGCCCGCCTTCCCGTGGCTGGTCCCCGTCCCGCTCTGAGGACATCCCCGGGGACTCGTGGGGCTCGTACCTCCCGCTCCTCGAGGCTGGCGGCAAACCCTGTGTCCACTTCCCCCCGTGTCGGCAGCCCCTGGGAGGACCCCAGGGCCCTGCAACCCACCAACAAAGTCCCCTCCCTGGATTTGAGGCTTCAGAGCGGCATCCGACCGCACTGCCACCGCGGGGAGGGGTGCCAGGATCTCCCTGCGCCTTCTCCTGCCCCCACGTGTCATCTGGCCTCCTCCTGAGGCCACCTGAAACTGCTGCCCAGTGCAGGACAAAGTGTCCTTGGGACAGCACTGGACACCTCCAGAGATCCCTGGGGCCGAGGACCCCGGCAGGAGTGTGGCCCAGGCCCCCGGTTGGGGTGGGGGCCACCCACGGGGCTCCTGGTGGGGAACATGCTCTGCTGTTCCCCAGGAGGGAGGAGACCCCTGCACGAGGGTCCCCATGAGCATCACCGTTGCCTACGGAGACCTGTCCAGCACAGGGTAGACCTCTGCGATGTGGCACCTCACCACGGAGGGACGTGGGGGTCTTCTGTGCACGGCAGTCTACCCCACCAGGGCAGCAGGGCCCCCGCAGGCCCCACGTGTTAGCACATCACACCTGAGGTCACCGGGCTGGGCGCCGGCCACGGTCACGCAGCCGGAAGGTGGCCCTGGAGCTGTGCCTGGACGACACCAGGGGCTCCCTGTGTCCCCACGCGGTGCACATGTGATGCCCGTGGCCAACACCTGTGCCCCCTGGCAGGGTCCTTCACGAGCGTCTCTGAGCCGGCCGCGATGTTCGGGGTGTTCGGCCTCTGGAAGACCTTCGCCAGCGTCGTCTTCTACCTGACTCTCGTCATCGGCCTCGGCGGGCTGGCGGGCAACGGGCTGGTGCTCTGGAACCTCGGCCTGCACATCAGGAAGGGGCCCTTCTCCGTCTACCTGCTGCACCTGGCCGCCGCGGACTTCCTGTTCCTCTGCTGCCAGGTGGGCTTCTCCGTGGCCGAGGCCGCCCTGGGCTCCCAGGACACGCTCTACTTCGTGATCACCTTCCTGGGCTTTGCGGCGGGGCTGTGGCTGCTGGCGGCCTTCAGCGCCGAGCGCTGCCTCTCCCACATCTTCCCCGCCTGCTACCAGCGCTGCCGGCCCAGACACGCCTCGGCCGCCCTGTGCGCCCTGGCCTGGGCGCTGACCCTGCCGGCCGTGCTGGTGCCCGCCCACGCCTGTGGCCTGCTGCGCGCCCGCGCGCACCCGCTGGCCTGCCTGCGGTACCACGCAGCCAGCGTCACCTGGCTCCTGGCACTGGTCTGTGTGGCCTGCACGGCCGGCCTGGTCCTCTTCCTCTGGGTGGCCTGCTGCTCCCAGCGCCAGCGCCCCAGGTTCTACGGCATCGCGCTGGGCGCGGTGCTCCTGTTCCTCTTCTGCGGCCTGCCCTTCGTCCTCTACTGGAGCCTGCGGCCCCTCCTGAACTTCCTGCTGCCCATGTTCCCCCCGCTGGCCGCCCTCCTGGCCTGCGTCAACAGCAGCTCCAAGCCGCTCATCTACTTCGTGATGGGCCGGCAGCCCGGGAAACGGGAGCCGCTGCTGGCCGTCCTGCAGCGGGCGCTGGGGGAGGCGGCTGCGCCGGCTGTGGGGGGGCTGTCGCTGCCCCTGGGCTCCGTATAGGTGGTGGCCGACCCCCAACCCTGCAGGGCCTGCCCGGAGATGCCCACCCTCGCCCCCACTCGCCCAGACACTCCCACCACTAGGAGTGACCCTGCCCACTGCCCCGCTCGTGCCCTGGGGACCCGAGGGCTAGACACAGAGCTGGAGGGATGTGGTCCTGACCACCCGCCCTGCCGAGCCCGCAGATGACGAGGGAAGCAGGAAACCAAGGCCGAGAGACATCGGGCAGGGTCGGGGAAAGGACACCCCCAGAGCAGGGTGGGGACGTGCACCCCACCCACAGCAAGCCCACGTCCCTCCTCCTGCCCCCTCCACCTCCCCGTCTGACACACCCAAGTCGAGTGTGAGAGAACAGGTGGGGGCTGGACCGATTGGAACCCGGGCGTCTGGGCTCCTGGGCGTCTGTAGATGCCTCCCGTCCACCGAGACCATGCTTTGACCCTGCCACTGAGGAGTCGTGGTTGAACCCTCCCTCCTCCACTCACCCATGCCTCCCCCCTCACCCATGCCTCCCCCTCAATGCCTGTCATTCTGCCCATCTGGTGGTGACCACCCCCATGGCCTCCCCAATCTCCAAGGACCAGGACTGGCTGCCTGATGGCACCAACAGGGGCCACCAGATGGCGCTGCTTCCACACGTAACAGGCCCCGTGGCGCCAGAGCCGCGCGGCGCTGACCTTGGGCTGGGCCCTCGGGTGCTCCTGGGTCGCCTGCTGCTCTCCCTCCATCTGAAGTCCCCTCACTCCCCTCCCCACCCCGGGCCCCAGCCAGCCCGGCCCTCGGGGAGGGAAAGTGAGGGCAGGCTTCCCACGCTCAAATCGTCTCCCAGAGTACAAATCATTTCCTGTGTTTTCTGATGATTAAAAAAATACTTCATGGTCATTAAAACATGCAAGCCCTACTGAAAATATTAAAAAGATAAATCATCAAAATTTTTTCTACCCAGATGGAGACGTCTTTGGTGAAGAACACTCCAGTCGTGTATTTTTTTATAAAGACTTGAGGAAATTTCCCTTTTTTACCAAAATAAAGACATTCCGTCCTTGCTTTGTGAAACCTGGTACAGCATTTTACAACTCCCCGTGAATTGCCGAATAAAGCTGCTCCTCCTCCACTAGCAAGGTGACGTGTTGCTTGTCATGGGGATTTGGGGGCACATTAAAAAGTGGAAAGAAAAAAAACTCCCTGGAGCCCCCAACCCGAGACACCGCCTTTGCGGTTTTCTGTCCCTCCCAGGATGAGCGTGGTTCTGGCCACGCCAAGTCCCCCGTCCCCTGCCTGTTCTCCCCACACTGCCCCTCAGGACAGGGGACAGTCCAGCAGGGAGTGGAGAGTGGGCAGCGCTGTTAGTCGAAGGCCACCTGGCGGCTAGGACGGGGGAGAGGCTTGGCTTTAGGAGGGGTGGGGAGGGCTCGTCCATTCTGTGACACTTCACACTAGACCCCAAGGCGCGGTGTGGCCTCCTTCCTGAAAGTGGAAGGGGGGTGGGGCAGTGTCAGAGCTGGGATGCTCTGGGACCAGCCCATCCTCCCAACCCCAAGAAATAGCTGTGGGGCCCCCCACGGGGCCTTCCATCTGTGTGCCGGCAGGGACAGGTGGGCAGCCTGTCTGGGGCGGGTGATAAATAGCCCAGTCTAGACAGACGGGGAGCGCGGGGCCCTCTGTCCCCGTCACTCACGGCTGGACTGTGGGAACACCAGCCTGAGTCCAGAGAGAGCAGCCCACGTCCCCGGTCCTGGAGAAGCTCACGGCCATATGAAAGGACGAGGCTGTCCCAGGGCTGGTCTGAGTCCAGACAGACGCAGGAAGAACCTGGACTCCAGCCCAGGAGCTGGGACGCATCCTGCTGGCTCTTCTCTGGCTGGGTGACCTCCAGCAAGTCACCTGACTGCTCGGAGCCCAGGTCTGCAAGAGGAGTCAGGACAAGGTCTCCTTGCCAGGACCGCAGGGAGCTGGGCCGCGGCAGAGGACGAGCCTGTCCTAACCTTCAAGGTCAGATGCATCACCCCTCTGCCTCCAACCGTGCTCCAGGGTGTCCCCCCGCCCCGACCTTGGCACACGTACCACGCTGCCTTCTGCCATTCCTGCCTTTGGCACCATCCCGCCCAGCCACTGGGGGCCTGCCCTTGTGATTGTCCTGTTCTGGAATACTGGGGTGGGTGCCGTGCCCTCCACTCCCCTTGTGTGCACCTGTCCTGTCCGAGCACCCCGGCCGACCCCCGCCCAGCACAGGCTGACACGCCGAGCGCTTCCTTTCCCTGGTTGCCTGCTCGTTTGTTTGCCTGTTGAGTGTCGTGTCTCTCACCTTAGGGTGGTCTCCACGAGGGTGCAGAGCCAGCAGCCTGTTCACCGCCGTCTCCCTGGACGGGCCCGGCGAAGGGGCTCGGCAAGTGTTTGTCAAGTGCATGGACAGGTGGATAGACGGATGGATGGGGGAGTGAATGAACGATGTGGTCAAGCGAATAAATGATATGGCTAAGACAGAGTGCAACTGAATGGGGCGGGATCGGGCTTCCCGGCCACCGGCATCCTGAGCGCCGACCTGAAGCCTGAGTGGATGGTCAGAGAGAGGCCCAGGTCTGCTCAGAGCAGAGTCCAGCCACCCAGGCTGCCCCCGTCCCTTGGCCGCACCCCCCTGCTGAGTCCAGAAACATCACTGAGCCAACTCCACGCTGGGCACTGGGCCAGGTGCTCGAGATGTGGCCCCACCATGGTACGGCCTTGTCTCCAGGGAGCCTGACCTCTAGAGAAGGGACAGACACAAACACAATTCAAAGACAGTGTGCCGAGGGTGCCCGGAGGTGCCCGAGAGGCTTCGACCTGCCCTTGACACTCCCAGTTCATGACAAGCCAAGGAGCCCCCACTCCAGGGCACGGCGGGGATCCCACGGCGGGCGGGCCACTTAGGCTGCCGCACGCTGAGACAATTCCCGTCTGCTCCTGTTCTTAATTGCAGCAGGCATTGACTCAGCCCGACGGCCCCCTTTCTCCATTTGTGAAGACGATCTAGGTTTTTCCCTTCAGCTCCCCGACGGGGGTCAAAGTGGCTTCCGTCCTTAGTCCCCACTTGGCCCTGGTGTAGTGTCTTGTTCCGTGTGCAGACGGATTTCAATTGCTAACATTTCGGGAAGGATATTTGCGTGTATGTTTCTGAGCGACGCTGGCCTCTCGTTTCTTTTCCTGCACTGTTCCCGTCCGGGTTTGGGCGCCAGGTTCCTCCTTCTTGCTCCGGTCCCTGGAAGACTTCGGGTCTGAGCGGTAAGTACCGCTCCACCAGCGGCCAAGTGCGTTTCCGAGAAAGGGTTTACAGCACAATTTTGATTCCTTTAACAAGGAATATTTAACCTTTAACAAGGTTAAATATTTAGCCTTTAACAAGGCTATTCAGATTCTCTTTGTCTTCTTGTGTCAGTTTCAGAGAGTTTTGCTTTTCAAGGAATTCGTCCGTTTCACCTGCGTTTGGATTTGTCAGCGTGGAGTGGCGAGCGTGATTCCTGTGGCCGCGTCACTGTCTGTCAGACCCACACGGTGTTGCCGTCGGATCCTTTGCGTTTTCTCTTGATCCTTCTTGTTAGGGCTTCACCAATTTTAGTGACCTTTTCAGAGAACCAACTTTTGTTTTGCTGATTTTTCCATATGGTCCCTGTTGCCTATTTCACTGCCGTCTGCCTGTCTCTATTGTGTTTCCTTCCACTTCAGGAAGGTTTAATTTGCTCTTCTTTTTCCAGTTTCCTGAGGGAAGTAGCTTGGATAATTTCTTCTAAATCTTTTCTTGTAGGCTGAATCGTGCCCCCATAAAGACGTCCACACCCTTGGGATATGCAAATACTCCCCACGAAAGCGTAGATTCCCAGAATGGATTTTGTAAAATTATGCGACTATCTGCCGCCTGCAAGAGACACACCTTAGATTCAAAGGCACCAATAGGTTAAAAGCAAAAAGATGCAAAATGATATACCGCATAAACAGTAACCGAGAGAGAGCTGGAGTGGCTATAGGAACATCAGACCAAATAGATTCTAAGCAAAAAGTTGTTCCTAGAGACAAAGACATTGTGTGATGATAAAAGGGTCACTCCATCAAGAAGATGCCACCACCATGAACATATATGCTGTGGTAGGCGAAAACAACCCCCCCCAAAACATACCCATGTCCTAATCCGTGTGACCTGTGAGTGTCACCTTATGCGGCAAAGGGACCTTTGCAGGTGTGATTAAATTAAAGATCTCGAGATGGGGACACTGCCCCGGATGGTGCGGCTGGGCCCAAGGTAACTTCAGGGGTCCTGAGGAGAGGGAGGCCGTCGGGGGAGGGGAGGAGACCTGAGGGTGGAGGAAGAGCGTTCAGGGGGCTGAGGAAGGGACCCTGCGTCAAGGACAGCAGGCACCTCCAGAAGCTTGAAGAAGCAGAGAAGAGCTTCTCGCCTAGAGCTGGGGAGGGAAGGCGTGTGGCCGGACAGCCTGACGTAGCCGGGCCAGACTGTTTGGGATTCCACCCGCCAGAAGCCCTAGCCCACACACGTGCATTGCTAAGCCGCTGAGTTTGTATAGTCGTTACAGCAGCCAAAGGGAGCCATGCGGACTGCGGCTCCTCCAGGTTCTACCTGAGTTTGTTTACTCTCCTGTGTCTTCAAAGAGCTGCCTTTCCTTCTCTCCAGAGTTTGCAGCTATTCAATAGCAGGAGGGTTATTCCGACGTCAGCTACTCTGCCATCGCCAGACCCAGAGCTCATCCTCCCTCTAAAATGAAAAGAATGATAACGATTCTGAATTTCGAAGCACGTATGTCCCCAGGGTTTGCAGGGCCCACGCCTGTCGCAAAAGTGGGCGTGAACCAAGCCTGTGGGGTACTGGCTGTGGTCAGAGGAACAACAGGGCCATCCGGGCCGATGGGGCGTGGCTGAGGCGGCAGGACCCGGGGTAGACGAGGCCGGGGCACCTGGCGCAGGCTGTCCCTGGATGCCTGCCGTGTTCTTGTCAGTCAGCGCCTCCTCCTCCGAGC